CTGGTCGTTGTGGATGTTCCCTCTTGCTGATACTGTTCTTGTCGTGGTGGTGGTGGTGGTGGTGGTGGTGGTGGTGGTGGTGGTGGTGGCGGCGGTGGTAGTGGTGTGGTCGTGGCGGTGGTGGCGGTGGTGGTGTCGTGGTGGTGGCGGCGGCGGTGGTGGTAGTTGTTGTGGCGAAAGTGGTGAAAGTGGTGAGAGTGGTGTTGTTGTGATCAGTGGTGGTGCTGGTGGTGGTTCTGGTGCTGGTGGTGGTGGTGGTGGTGGTCGTCGTCGACGTTCTTCGCCGTGGTCGTTGCCGTCTTTGTTTCTATCCCTCGTTTGAAGTTACGTGTTTGTCATGGTGTTCGGTTTCTTTTGCAAGGCATGGACATCGACGGATGTGAAATGTACGGTATCGGCTCCCAACTGGCGGACCCCGTCGAGGCCCAGAGCTTTGTTGTGGGTACAGGTGTCTTCTATGTGTGTTTATATATAGTTCACATATATATATATATAGACATACATATATGTATACATACTACGAGGTGTCCCTCTTTCTCTCTGTCTCCCTCTACATATATATATATATAGGAAAAACATATTACTATCTCTCTCTCTCTCTCTAAATATGAATAGACAACTGCATGAACATAATTGCATGCATTTCTGCATGTACAGTGTCGGGCATAGTGACTGGCTGCAGCAGTTCTTGAGAACTTCTGTGCCTTTGGAAGCATTGGCTGTAGCTGGAAGCTCGAACCCCCAAGTCTCAAATCGCTACCAACTGCATTGTACCGCAGGCTCCCATCCCCATGTTTTTTGTTGCACTGGGTTTCTGCAGTGCCTGCCGAGTCGCTAGATGTAGTGTGGGAGTCAAGGGCTGTCATCAAGCGCTCTCCGGGTTCTGCCTCTGTTGCTTGCTGACACCAACACTTGGATGTTAGTTAGATGCACTTCACGCAAGCCCTACGCTGTATCGGTTCCTGATTCTCAATCATTGCAAGCCCCACACCATACATGACGGGCGGTCGAGCTTAGAAACGGATGCTCAGGCGAACTCCTGCTCCAGAGTTGCCTGGCTCAAGATGCTTTCTCACTTCCTAAACCCCGAGTGCTCGCGTCGAAGCTTCTGTCGTGTTTCCAAAAACCTTACATGCGAGAGCAATAACAATGTAAGATCCTGTGGGGTAGTTGGAGAGTCATATGTTTAACCTGCAATCAAACGCACGAGGCTGGTTGACTAAACAGGCCGCAGGTGGGAACACCTCTTGCCAAAGATGACCTCAACGACATTGATGATGGTGCAGGTGATCGTATTGATCATGGAGTTGTTGGGCAGCATGCGCTATTTTCATTGACGTCTTAGCGTGCAGGTTTTCCATCTGCCTCTTCACGAGAATGACCACCAGGTCATGTATGCGGGCTCGGAATCGCCACTGCCGCCGCCACTGCCACCACCACTGCCACTCCACCGCCACCCCCACCACCTCCAATGCCGACACATCCACCACTGCCACCGCCGCCGCCACCGCCATCGTCATCAGCATCATGATTATCCGCACCCCTTCACCGCCACCGTCGCCGTCACCGTCACAAGTGCCCGTGCCATCGCCACCACCAACATCAGTATGATCATCACTATCATCATCAGAAGTGTTCATCTAGTACCCCATGGTCCTTTTATCCCCGTGGACCATAGACCTACCAGTCAATCCAGCTGTTCCGCACGGGGAATGCGTAGTTTTTGGTAGCTCGGCTTTGTCTCGGGTCGATGTTAAAGGGCTAAAGTGTTGTTCTTGCGGGTCAATGGGTTGAGCAGCCGCAACCCGAAATCCTAACTGTTTAAATCAAGAGTTTTGTTCTACAGGATCTTGGAGGGCTACTAGACTCAGGTTCTGCGCCTTGCTGACGACGACGATGCTCCGCTTCTCATGAGAGCCACAGCCCAAGCTCTGCTTTGGAAAATGTTTGGAAGGAGTAAGTTCTGAACGCGCAGCCGGTATTTGGGATCGTTTGCTCTGTTTGCACCTTGTTTATGTTCAGCAGAAATCCTGGGATAACGCTTGAAGTTCTTGCGTTTCGCGATCAAGGGACCTTTGATCATCCAGGCAGGTTCGGGAGAGGCCTAACACCTGCAGCAACATGCATCCAAGATTGGTTCTTTGACCGGGTGAACGACAACCATGACGATATATGACGACGACATCTGACATAAAGTTGGTTGAGCTGTAGATATGACTATGAAGAGAAGCAGGAGACGACGAAGAGTACGCAATTGTCAGGAGGGGTGGAAAGGTGGAGGGTGGAGGGGTGGAGGGGTCGTGAGGTGTGAAGGTTGGAGGGGCCCCATTGGAGGGGTGGAGGGCGCTTATGTTGAAAATAGGCTTGGCGGCCCGGGCCCGAAGCCAACGGAGGTAGTATAAAATATCTGTTTATATTGGTAATATAGGTATTAAAAAAATCCGCATAATAAAAAGAATTGCACGCTGAATTATGGGGCCTTACTCATCTTCTCTTCTCCTCCCGGTTCTTCTGGAAAGGCGAATCATGGGCGGCTTGTTGGTTTGGGTAGTTGGGCAGCAGAGCCAGTAAGGAATCAAGGGATTGAAGCGGATGTCGTGAAGCTAAATGGGCATCCAGTTCAGACAGCTTGCAAAATGCCTTTCTTTGGGCACATCGAGACCAAGAATCCTCAACCCTAATTGCATGCGGAACCTGGGGTGGGCCCACAAGGCTTCGAAGACCGGCATCGGAAATGCGCAGCACGGAGGCAGTGGCGTGCTCCTGGCATGCTTTGATGCTCGGAACTCCAGAGCCGACTTCGGGTTCCTAAAGTTATTCTAGTTCGGAAGGCCCACGAAGTTTCCCAGCACTTTTCAAGCCCCCAGCTCCCTCAACGCCCGATCTGATCAACGCCTCCAAGTCTGCCAGGTCAGCATCATGCAGTCCATTCTGACCAGTGCCGCCTGGCTTTCGGCTTCAGTGCTTGATGCTTCCGATCTTCTCGGGCTTCGGTTGTACGTTTCTGGGGGCATGAGATGTGAGGTCTCGATTCGCGTGGTCTAGAGCTTGAAATTATGCTTTCGGGTTAGCCGTGCCCGTTTTCGGGGTGGGGTCAGTTCTGACCGTGAGACATGCACGGCATCTGGCACTGTGATCGACCTTCAGAGTCGATGCCCAAGCTTTGAACGCCCCAAAGCAACAGAACCCTAAGTCAAAACGCGACTCAAGTTTTCAACCTTGAACCCTAGACCATCACCCTAAACCCTAAACGCAGTAACTCTGCCCTTCACTGCTCAGATCGCGGGAAGCATTGGCCCGAACATGCACCTGAGACAGACGAACCCTTACCTCGCCGCTGGGCTTTGCAGTGGCTTCGGTTGAGGGTGTCGGGGATCAGAGCTGAGGATGCAGATAGCCCGGAATAATAGCTTATTATGGGCCTTGAGCAGGCTTTCCAGCCTGAAAGCGAGAGGAACGCCGTGAGATTCTTGCTATCGAAAGGATTTCCTTGGAGCACATTCAGATCAGCAATGGAGACGTTCAGCGCAAGCTTCAACCCCAACGCAGTCTTTCCGAATTACGTCCTACAGCTGCAACTGATAGCCCGGTGCCGCGAAGCTCATCTCGGCCTTGGTTATGTTTGGGTCCTTCCTTGAGGGTTCCATGCGGTCTGAAGGCTTCAGCATCGGACTCGCCGCCCGACAGTGGTTTGCCCCAAACTTGATCAAGAACTCTACATAATCTGTACACCAACAGACCCACCGCAACCCCAACACTTAAACCCAAAGTCCGAAGACAAAATTGGTGCATGTGCCCATAGGACATTTCAGAGCTGCCTTTGCACTTCGTTACGGAGGCCACGGGACGTTGGGGAATGGCCCAGGGACTCTGAGCATGTATTGGGTTCTTTGGGATTTCAGAGTTGATTGCTTACTGGGGTTGGGACGCTGCGGTTGTGTTTCCTCGTGTGGACTTTGGGGTTGTCTTGGGATTGCAGAGTTTTGTGAGTTTGCTGTTGGGTGTGCTGAGGAGCCTTCGTGGTTCCAAGGTTCGAGTCTTGGGTAGAGTCGGTTAGAGTCTTTTCGGCTCGGACTTCGTTTGGAATTGGAGATTTGTCTTGGCATTTTGGCGGTACATGGCTTCGCATTCAACGTGCAGAATCGGAGAGTGCCTGCTTTGGCTTAGATTTTTTCGCATTGCCTTTGGATGCTTGAGAGGCCAGCTTGCCAACATCTCCTTTTTCTTACGAGTAGACTTCAGAGATAGCTTGGAGCTTCTCACGACGGAGTTTGAGAGTGACACGAACAGAAACAGAAGCACTAGTTTCGACGTGGGTTTTCTGAGATAATGTAGTGATGTGGTCGCCGTCGTTGTAGTCGTCGCAGTGGTCGTTGTAGTCATAGCATTGGCAGAAGCAGCAGCCTGCAGAGAGTTGACAAGGGGACGGGTAGTGAATCAACCCCGAGTAAACTGTGTGAGAGAAACAGGATGATCAGCTGGTCATTCTGGTGACAGTGGTCACGCCAGTGATGAAAGCAATGGTAGCGACAGCAACCACAGCAATCGTGGGAAGGCTGGCAGTAGGGACTGACAACACTGAACATCACACATATCAGAGGTCTCAAAAGGAACATTCGGTTCATGATGCACATGCGGACATTGCTTAGAATGCCGAAGGTAGTGAGCATACAGGCATATTGCAGAAGACACATAATCTTTCATCAGGTAGCAAGACTAGCAGCATAGCTATCTGAATACTGGAATGATGATGGTGATGACAGTCACCATGGTGACGATGACGGTCGAATGATATTGATCCTCGGCTGGGCTCGAAGACCAGGCTTAAAAACAAAAACCTCTCTGCGAACCTGGATTGGACTAGATCGTCTTAGTGCGCAGCCCGGGATTCCGAACCCTGAGCCTAAAAGCTTAAGTCGCCACTTTTAGAGCTCGAGGTGAAGGTTGGTTAGGGCCACGGAATTGACCGACCTGCGAAATGCGAAAGAAGACGTTGTCAGATGCTTCATGTCTGGAATGCAGCCGGCGAGGAGCTGGTCTCGGTACCTGTAGAAGAGGTGAGTTCTGTGCGAAGCTTGAAACAAGATGTGCAGAGGTGCTGTGGGTTTCCGAGATTCCGGCAGGCATTTATGCACGAAGGCACTATTTTGGATGATGGCGCAAAGTTGGTCACGCCTGGGGATGCTCAGGTGGTTCTACTATCGTTCGCTCCTGCTCCCCAGGAAGACATGCTGACATTCGTAATTGCCGTGCAGAACGGCCACGTCCACGACGTCGAGGAAATTCTACGGCGTCCCCAGGATCCCAATCGACCCCGGACGGCTCTGGTTCACGCGTCCACGCGAGGCCACGTCGAGGTTGTAGGCTTGCTACTGGAAGCCGGGGCCGACAAGGATGGCACGGACATAGACCGCACCACGGGTCTCCAGCACGCGTCTGGAAGAGGCCACGCGGAGGTTGTGCGATTGCTACTGCAGGCTGGTGCAGACAAGGACCTCGCAGACTGTCAGGGGCGAACAGCTCTCATGTACACATCTCAGCGTGGTCATGCGGAATGTGCACGGCTGCTGTTGAAGGCCAAGGCCGATAAGGACTTGGCCGACAAGGACGGCTGGACGGCTCTCATTTGCGCATGTTCACAAGGCACGGAGGAGAGTGTGGCCTTGCTGTTGCGGGCTGGGGCGCGAAAGGACTTGGCTGACCATCTCGAACGGACGGCTCTGATCCATGCCGCCAGCAGAGGCCACGTTGAAATTACCCGCCTTCTGTTAAATGCTGGCGCCAACGCAGGTTTGGCTGACATTGATCGATCGACTGGGTTGGTTCACGCTTCTGTCCAAGGCTACGCCACTGTTGTGCGTCTACTGCTCGAGGCTCGTGCTGCCGAGGAATTGGCCCGAGAAACAGGTAAGGCCGCGTTTCGTGGCGCATGCTCACAAGGTCACCTGAAGGTAGAGCGATTGCTGCTGGCAGCCAGAGCGGGTGGGGTACTCACGTCCTGGTGCGCATGCTCTTCGAGAAGCTGGAAACACCGAGACAAGTGCGGGGTCCGCAACGACGATGGGACGCTTCCGCGAAGCACGGCGGCGACTGCCGCATGGCAAGATGATACAGCGCGTTGAGACCGGGAGCATCCCAATTTTGTCGACCCAAGCCATGCCATCCTAACGGGAAGGTTTGATGTTCTCTTGTGGTGAAAAAGAAGCAGAAAGTGCACAGAAGACTTTCTGAGCCGGGAGTCGCTCAGGACATTTGGTTGATGCTTCAGACATTTCCCCAACGTTACGCCTTGTTACAAATCCTCCGAAGCCCCTGGGCCCTCCACCTCAAGTCTAACAGCTCTAAGAGGGTTTAGGGTTTAGGGTTTAGGGTTTAGGGTTTAGGTGGTAGATGCCGGCTGCATCTCAAGCCCCAGTGGGAGATGTGCCTGTAGACTAGCAGGCCTCTTGTCCAAGCAAGTTGGAAGAAGAAGCTAACAGCTCCCAGGGACACGAGAAGAAGTGTGTAGCCGAAGGTGGTTCCTTTCCGCATGGCCTCGACCTTCATGACCTCCTTCTCCCGCGGATTCGGTGGCACCAACGTGTCCGTCGTGAGCTACGCTGCCAAGGCCCTCTTTGCCTTGCTTCTGCCTGGGGATCAGAAGTTATAGGCGAAGGGTTTACCGATTCGGTTCGAACGTGTCATCCGTGGTTCACCCTCAGCCCCAAGCTGCGAGACGGCAAACTCAAAACCTGAAACTTCTCAGAGTCGGAGCAGTCTCGTAGTTTGTATGTAAGCACACTTAGGCAAGGATATTGGCGGCTCGAAGCGCTGGACATGTACAGCCCGGACTCCACGACTTCGCCGAAGCACGGCACAATCTCCTTGACCCTGAGTATAGGGAGTACATTAAGGCCAAAGTATATGCTATTTGGGTACATGGACCCTTAACTTGAGATCCGAGAGCCTAATTACCGCTCTAGGGGTTTAGGGTTTGGGGTTTAGGGTTTAGGGTTTGGGGTTTAGGGTTTAGGGTTTAGGGTTTAGGGTTAGGGTTTAGGGTTTAGGGTTTAGGGGTTTTAGGGCTTATACTAGACCCTAAACCCTAAACCCCAATTGTTGTGTGGGGTCTAGAATCTAAACCTTACACCTTTAGGGCTTCGGTAGCATTTAGGGTTTAGGGTTTAGGCCTCGCTTTAAAGGTATTCTGGTTCCTAAGAGCCCTAAACCCTGAATCATAAACTCGTATCTATGGGAAGGTTGCAAGCCTCTAAACCCCTAAACCCCTAAACCCTAAACCCTAGCCCCTAAACCCCTAAATCCTAAACCCTAACCCCTAAGCCCCTAAATCCTAAACCCTAAATCCTAAGTTCCAATACGCAAAACCTGAGCCCTGCTGACCATCTGTGATTCGGCTGCTTGCTTCCAAAATCCGAGCCCCGGTTTTGGGGTTTAAGGTTTAGGGTTTAGGGCCCGAGCCTTAGAGACAGAACGTTCAGGGTTTATGGTGGTCAGGTTTGGGGGGTACATACGCTCAGAGGCTTGGGTTTCTAGCGCTTGGAGCAGTAACTTCCATATCCATATCAGCACTCCGCAGTTCCCTAAACCGGTAGGCTCTGAAGCCATAAAGCCCGACTGAATCTTCCCGACAGACTTTGCAGACGCTAGGCTCTCAGACGTCGCAGATGCTAGGCCCTTCGAAAAACCGTCTGAATGCAAGGCACTGGAGCCTTAGTTGCTGACTGCAAACCTCAGACCCTAACTTCGGTGTTTTTTGGGTTTAGGGTTTTAGGGTTCACGGTATAGGCTTTAGGGGGTTAGGGTTTACGGTTTTAGGGTTTAGGGTTCTCCGCCGCGCAAGATGTCACTGACTGTGCAAGTTGGATTGCTCAGCGGCAGGACAGCTACTGTGCAAGCCGACTTGAAGGAAAGAGTCGGAACATTGAAACGTCGAGCTGAGACCGCACTCGAAGTGGGCAAAGGGCAGCTGGTACACTCATCTGGAGGAGTTCTGGATGTCCTTGCACCGATCAAGCGTGCCCGGCTGCAGGATGGTGACTCACTCCTGTTGCATATAAGCAGGGTTCAGGTGCAGGCCACCGGCAGCGCTTTTGCTGCCGTTCTTGGTGATGGATCGTTCATGACCTGGGGTGATCCTACCGAAGGTGGTGACAGTAGTGCTGTGCAGGATCAGCTGAAGAATGCACAGCAGATCCAAGCCACCGGCAGCGCTTTTGCTGCCATTCTTGCCGATGGATCGGTTGTGACCTGGGGTAATGCTGACGACGGTGGTGACAGTAGTGACGTTCAGGATCAGCTGAAGAACGTCCAGCAGATACAAGCCACCGGCACCGCTTTCGCTGCCATTCGTGACGATGGCTCCGTCGTGACATGGGGAGCTTCTGAATTTGGTGGTGACAGTAGTTCTGTGCAGACTCAGCTGCAGAATGTGCAGCAGATCCAAGCTTCGGACGGTGCTTTTGCTGCCATTCTTGGCGATGGATCCGTCGTGACATGGGGTGATGCGGCAGAAGGTGGTGACAGTAGTTCGGTGCAGGGTCGGCTGAAGAATGTACTGCAGGTCCAAGAAGCTGGAGGCGTTGATGCCGGCGCATTTGCTGCCATTCTTGCCGATGGCTCTGTCGTGACCTGGGGTGATGCTGGTTACGGTGGTGACAGTAGTGCAGTGCAGAATCAGCTGAAGAATGTGCAGCAGATCCAAGCCACCGGCGGCGCTTTTGTTGCCATTCTTGGCGATGGCTCCGTCGTGACATGGGGATGTTCTGAATTTGGTGGTGACAGTAGTGCAGTCCAGAATCAGCTGAAGAATGTGCAGCAGATACAAGCTTCCGGCAACGCTTTTGCTGCCATTCTTGGAGATGGATCTGTCGTGACATGGGGTGATGCAGAAGATGGTGGTGACAGTAGTTCTGTGCGGACTCAGCTGCAGAATGTGCAGCAGATCCAAGCTTCGTTCCAAGCTGCGTACGGTGCTTTTGCTGCCATTCTTGGCGATGGATCTGTCGTAACCTGGGGACTCTCAGAGGCAGGGGAGGAGGACAGGCTGGAGCAGGAAGAGGAAGAGGAAGCGGAAGCGGAAGAACTACTGTAGTCACCTCTGAAATGCAAGTTTTGGGAACCATTGGGAGTCCAGGCCTGTCCGCGGCTTTGCGGTTATAAAGATTTTTGGACCTCAGGGTTTAGGGTTTAGGGTTTAGGGTTTAGGGATTTTGGGACCTCCGGGCTTGTGTTTTCATGTGAGAGGGATTGGCTTCTTCCTGTCAACAACAACTGTCTGGTGCTTAGTAGGGAATGGGGAATGTATCCCTATGATAGTCCCTTAAGGTCTCTTATAGTACTCCCTACAAACCATTCCCCCATTCCCTACTAAGCACCAGACAGACAAGCAGCCGCCTTGGAAGATGCAGCAGCTCTGTTATTGAGAGGGTGTATATCCCCCAAAGGACCCTAAACCTTAAACCCTAAACCCCCAATCTTAACTTTCACCGTCTGAATGAAAGGCAGAACCTGGGATCCCAAAACCACCGGTTTTCAGTTTTCAGGCTTCTACCCTCGAATTAGGGGATCATAACCTAATATTTATTTTGTCCTAAGTCCCAAACCCTAAACCCTAAATCTTAAACCCTGGGTTTGGGGTCTGCTGATCACAAACTTCAGACCCTAACTTCCTTGTTTTGGGGGTTTAGGGTTTTAGGGTTCACGGTATAGGCTTTAGGGGTTTAGGGTTTACGGTTTTAGGGTTTAGGGTTCTCCGCCACGCCGCCATGTCGCTTACTGTGCAAGTTGGATTGCTCAGTGGCAGGACAGCTATTGTGCAAGCCGACTTGGAGGAAGCAGTCGGAACATTGAAACGTCGAGCTGAGACCGCACTCGAAGTGGGCAAAGGACAGCTGGTGCACTCATCTGGAGGAGTTCTGGATGTCCTTGCACCGATCAAGCGTGCCCGGCTGCAGGATGGTGACTCACTCGTTTTGCATTTAAGCAGGGTTCAAGTGCAAGCCACTCTCGGCGCTCTTGCTGCCGTTCTTGGCGATGGATCGTTCATGACCTGGGGTGATCCTACCCAAGGGGGTGACAGTAGCGATGTGCAGGATCAGCTGAAGAATGCGCAGCAGGTCCAAGCCACCGGCAGAGCTTTTGCAGCCGTTCTTGCCGATGGATCGGTCGTCACCTGGGGTAATGCTGACGACGGTGGTGACAGTAGTGACGTTCAGGATCAGCTGAAGAACGTCCAGCAGATACAAGCCACCGGCACCGCTTTCGCTGCCATTCGTGACGATGGCTCCGTCGTGGCATGGGGAGCTTCTGAATTTGGTGGTGACAGTAGTTCTGTGCAGACTCAGCTGCAGAATGTGCAGCAGATCCAAGCTTCGGACGGTGCTTTGGCTGCCATTCTTGGCGATGGATCCGTCGTGACATGGGGTGATGAAGACGATGGTGGTGACAGTAGTTCTGTGCAAGGTCAGCTGAAGAATGTACTGCAGGTCCAAGCCGCTGGAGGCGATGATGGCGGCGCATTTGCTGCCATTCTTGCCGACGGCTCTGTCGTGACCTGGGGTAATTCTGAATATGGTGGTGACAGTAGCGCAGTGCAGAATCAGCTGAAGAATGTGCAACGGATCCAAGCCACCGGCCGCGCTTTTGCTGCCATTCTTGCCGATGGATCGGTTGTGACCTGGGGTAATGCTGACGACGGTGGTGACAGTAGTGACGTTCAGGATCAGCTGAAGAACGTGCAGCAGATACAAGCCACCGGCACCGCTTTCGCTGCCATTCGTGACGATGGCTCGGTCGTGACATGGGGTTTTGCTGATTACGGTGGTGACAGTAGTTCTGTGCAGACTCAGCTGCAGAATGTGCAGCAGATACAAGCCACCGGCACCGCTTTCACTGCCATTCGTGACGATGGCTCCGTCGTGACATGGGGATGTTCTGAATTTGGTGGTGACAGTAGTTCTGTACAGACTCAGCTGCAGAATGCGCAGCAGATCCAAGCTTCGGACGGTGTTTTGCTGCAGTTCTGAGTGATGGATCTGGCTGGTCGTGACAGGATGCGCAGGGTTGCAACAGAAGTACGTAGAACCCCTAAACCCTCATTTTTGTTGTAGCGGAGCCTATATTCTAAATTCTAAGTCCTCATATTTGTGTCACGGGAGCTGGCGGAGCTGGCTTCGCGCTTCAACCTTCGTTTTTTATAGGTAGGACTTGTATTGAGTAATTCGGGGTGTGTTCCCGGGGGTATTAGTAACACAGCACTTAGCGATGACTGGCATCATATTTTCAAGTGTTAAAAACTGTTTTTCACTCATGTCCGAAGAGAGGTACGAACCATGCACGTTCGTTGCGGGTGCCTTAAGCTACAACCGAGCAGCAACAATAAATTCTAAGGCCTAAACCCCATCACCCTAAAAACTCTACACCCCGCAACCCTGAGTCGAAAACGTAATGTAATATACGAGCCTGAATAAGTAGTCTTGAGTCCCAGCACATTCCCCTTATGATGATACTCTACCCCCCCCCCCCCCCTCCCCCCCCATGAACACTATGTTGATCATTATGGCCGCTATCATACAGCCTGACGATACCCTACACCCTAAACCCTAAACCCTGATACCCTAAACCCTGATACCCTGAACCGTAAACCCTAATACCCTAAGCCCTAATACCCTATATCCTAATACCCGAAACCCTAATACCCTAAACCGTAAACCCTGATACCCTTATACCCTAAACCCTAATACCCTAAACCCTAATACCCTAAACCGTACACCCTAATACCGCAATACCCTAAACCGACATAACCTAATACCCTAAACCCTAATACCCGAAACCCTAATACCCTAAACCGTAAACCCTGATACCCTAATACCCTAAACCCTAAACCCTAATACCCTAAACCCTAATACCCTAAACCCTGCTTCCCTAAACCCTAATACCCTAATACCCTAAACCCTAATACCCTAAACCCTGATTCCCTAAACCCTAATACCCCATACCCTAATACCCTAAACCAAAACCCTAACACCCCTACATCCTTCCACTGCGATCTCCGAAAGCCCTGGCTCTAGGAGTCAGTTGATGCAGCCCTTATAGAGGGTTTATAGGGTTTAGGGTTTAGGCTGTAGGTTCAAGGTTTAGGGTTTAGGCCTTCGGGTTTAGGGTTTAGGTTTTAGTGACGCTTCTCAAACCAAGAAAACTACTCTGAAGGTTTTCGAAAGGCTTTTTCCGAAATCCTTAAAGGAGCGATTGAAACGAACCCCCTTTGCTGTATGTTCAAGTGGAGGATTGCGGGAAGGTTTCAAGCCTGACTCCGTTTAGGATTTTAGGATTTCGGTTTAGAACCCTAAACCCTAAACCCCAGGGTTTCGGGTTTTGTCCCTTTAACAAGTTCTCAAACCCAGACTGCTTCTGAGAGGTCTCCATGGGTTTAGGGTCTAGGGTTTGAGGTTTGGGGTTCATGCCTAAATTCATCCTAAACCCTTAAAGTTTGGGGTTTAGGGTTTAGGGACCAAAAAGACGAAAAGTCGAGAAGCCCTGATCCCAGCGCCAACTCGAACCCTTTTTCCTAGGGTTTTGGAGTTTCTTATTAACCCGGCTCCTGTAAAAAACTGTCGCCTGAAGCCTAAACCCTAAATCCTAACCCTAAACTCTAAATCCTAAACATTAAGGCACAATAGGAGGGACCTTTAGAAGGGACCCCTAATCCAAATACCCTATATAACCCTTACATACCCCTTATATATTTCATAAAGCCCCTATATAACCCCAAGGGTCCCTTTAAGGGTCCCTCCTTTAGTCCCTTGAAAACACTGTCGACTGAAGGGGCCCTTGTGACACCTTGGAAAGAGTTTGGAAAGTACTTCCAGAAAGTCGGTGCCCTAAGCAGGGTTTAGGGTTTGGGGTTTAACCCCGAAGCCCCCAAAACCCTCAAACACACAAACTTTCAACCCCGAACCAGAAACCCTAAACTCGAACCCTAAACCCTAACCCCCAAAACCCCGTTTACGGTTTAGGGTTTAGGGCAAACTCTTACAAAGGCTTAAAAGCACGCCTTTCTAAAAGACCCTGGGGCGGCGCGAGGAGGAGGCACGAGAGCTGTATCACACAGCAGAGCAAGACGCGGTCACCCAGGCCATCCGCTAGTGTTTTTTGGGGTTGAGAATTGGTGGTTCTCGTTTCAGATTCTTTTAGTGGTTCCTGTGTGGGTTCGGGGTTTCCTTTAAGGGTTCCTCTGCCCAACCCTAAACCCTGGTTCTCCAGCACAACTCTGAAAGAGCTTGGCGCACTGTCCTAAGTCCAATACCCCAAAGCCTCAACTGCAAAACAGGCGTCTGGAGAATTCGTATTAGTATACCGCTGTCTCGCCCATGTAAGTTTCTACAACCACATATATACCCCCCAATTTAAAAAAACATAATAAATCCTACGTAAGGCCCCTGTGATGGTGTCCCAACCCATATACCTTCCAAAACAGCCGTAAGAGCTTGAAGCTGTCATCAAGGACCTAAACCGTAAACCCTAAACATCTTGTACCCCTTCTGTAAAGTCTGAGGGCTTCGGGGTGTTGCTTTTCTGCTACAGTGAAAGCCCAAATTGGGCAGGGAATCAGGCGAGCAAAAGTCCCACTGCACCCTTGAGAAAAAAACTAAACCCTATTAACCCTAAACCCTAAACCCTAAACCCTAAACCCTAAACCCTATTAACCCTAAACCCTGAACCCTCTACACCCTGAGCCTTGCATCCCCTTAATCCTGGGATTAAGCAAGGGGGAATACTCAACTACGGGTGGGGCCTCGTCCTAAAACCCCAAATCCTAAGTAGACTCTACCCCTCAGGGTCCGAGTACCTTATCTCCAAAATACTAACCTCATTGCGGCGATCTTAAACCCAATGAATATTTGGTCCTTCGGACCCTTGGCATAAACTCTCAGGGAAATCCTTATAGCGGCCCTCAAGCAAGGTGTAAGAACAAAACTACGGGATGTTAGGTGGCGACGGTCCCTAAACCCTAATCCCCTTATAAAGCTAAGCCTCAGCAGCTGGCATGCTGCAGGTGCGCAGAAAGCGGTAATCCTAAACCCTAAATCAGCTCGTCAAATCTCTGAAAGCAGCACAGCGATCGCTGCCTCCAAGGCTGTGTCTATGCGGTTTCGGGTTTGGGGTTTAGGGTGTAGGGCCTATACTCAAAGGACTTTAATATACTTTTTTAAGCTAGGGTTATAAATAAGGCAACAGTACTTGTAACCAGATAGAGCCCTTTTGAAGGTACTTATAGCTGTACTTACTAAGTCCCTAAACCCCTTTACCCTAACACCCTAAAGCCCAAACCCCCCTTCCCCCCTTCCCCCCAACCCTTATAGCTGTACTTACTAAGTCCCATGAATCTCCAAGTAGACCCTGAACCCTAAACCCTTGAAGGAACCCTTGAAAAGAACCCCACTAAAGAACCCGAAAGTACCCTTAAGAGGGTCAGTGCGGACTGTGCCCTTACAGAACCCTTGTAGAAACCCTGTAGATCCTTTAAGGGGAAGGAGCATATCAGCACAACAACCATTCCGAGCTGCTTCAAGCAGCTGCGGCTCCAAACCTTAAGCCCCGAAGCCCTGAACCCTAAACCCTATGGTTCAGGGTTTAGGGTTTACTTAAGATCCAACGTTTATGGGTTTTGGGTTTAGTGGCTTAAGGTTTATGATGGTTTTGGGTGGTTCAAGTAGGATTTAGGGTTCAGGGGTTTCAGCTTTAGGAACTACATGTTACATGGGATTTGAACCCAAACCCCCACGACCCCTAAACCCGAAGACCGAAACCAGATCGAGAAGACCCTCCCCTAAACCCTCACAAACTCACAATCTCCTGTATTTGGTCTTAGGGCCTAGAGGTCTAGGGTTTAGCGAGTTAAGGGTAAGGAACCCTAAACCCCAAACCCCTAAACCCTAAACCAAGGAACCCTAAACCCTAAACCAAGGAACCCTAAACCCCTAAACCGAGGAACCCTAAACCCTTCAAACAGGTGGAGAGGATCCTCCAGAAGCCCGCGGATCCGAACTTCCGGGACCATCGGGAGCTGCTCGGCTCACAACTTTTCTGAAGTGGGTAGAGTTTAGGACTTAAGGGTTTAGGGCCTAGGGTTTAGGGTTTAGTTCAGGACTTAAGGGGTTAGGGGTTTAGGGTTTAGGGTTTAGGATTTAGAGGTTAGGGTTAAGCCAACCTTAGACCCTAAACTCTAAACCCTAAGCCAGTCTAGGGTTTGGGGTTGATGACCCCTTTTTGTTTTATCCCTAACCCCGCTATTGGGAGATCGGGTCCCCATGTTTTGCTACCATCTCGCGTGTCCCCCTTTTTTCGAGGGCTTTCCATCAGGGTTTCCGGTTTAGGGTCGATGTATATACTTGGCTCTTTTCTGGTTGGCCCGTAGGACTTTAACTTTTTGGGTTACTATATAAACTGTAGTAAGGAGGCTAAGAGATAACCCTAAACCCTAAACCCTAAACCCTAAGTTACTTTCTATATGAACTATAATAAGGAGCCTCAAGGTTTTAACTTTCAGGAGGGGTTCAGAAGTGAGCAAAGTATCGCTAGAGCTCTTTTCAGGCTTCATGGATCCTTTTGCCGACCTCTTTTTTGGGGAGGTTAGGGTTTAGCTTCCAAGTTGAGGATTTAGCCTCCAAGTTGAAGGTTTGGGGTCTAGAGTTTAGGGTGTAGGGTTTAGGGTTTAGAGTTTAGGGCTTAGAGTTTAGGGCTTAGGGTTTAGAGTTTAGGGTTTGAGGTTAAGGGTTTCTCGAGTTCCTACTAGCATAAACCGAAGCTCCTACGACCCGTTTCTACATTCCGGACCCCACATCGACCCT